CCCCAATATGTGTAGGTCCAGAGTGGAGTACAGGGAGCCAGCCATCTGAATGTATACTTTGGAGGCAAAATACTCATTTTCTGTATTAACTTTTTGCCTTAACTAACCACATAAATGACCGAAAGCAACTTAAGGAGCAAAGGGTTTCTTTCAACTCCCAGTTGAAGTGGATTCGGTCCATCATAGCAGCAAGATCATGAAGCAATGAGTCACACTGCACCCACAGTCAGGACACAAGAGTGGACAGGAAGTGGGGCCTAGCTACAAAAACCTCCAGGTTCTCAGTCAATGGTCCTCCCCCATTCTCCAGCGAGGTTCCACTTCCTAAAGTTTTCATGATCTTCCGAAACAGCTGGAGACCAAAGATTCAAAAACACTCTAGGGACATTTCATATTCAAACATTTTCTCAATTACATGTCTTATAGGCTACCAATAAAATGGATGCCATACTTGAGCATTGACTCATTCTGGGAGGAGGAGCATTGGAAAACAGAAAAGTGGCTCATAATTCAAAATTTGCCATTGGTAATTCATTTAGCAGGTGGTGGGCAAGCCTAGTCTTGTAGGCCAGGCACTGTGCTAGACCCTGGGAGAAAAAGCATAACTAAGACAGACACAGACGCCCCCAAGATGTTCACCAAAGAAGAGATCGTGTCCTAGAAACATTCCTGTATTCCTCCTCAAGGTGATGCATGAAGGAGAAGGTCATCAATTTCTATTTGTCACTATTGGGAAAGACCGATTGTCTATCTAGCTGATTCAATTTGGAATGAAGATGAAACATTGCACAGTGATCAAAATTTCATAAATCAAATCATGTGGTAGCATTATGAGGGGAGCCCACTACTCAAAACCCCCCATGGTGAATCCTCTACAAGGCTAAAATATCAATGGTATATTTGAGTCTCAGTACATCCAATAGACTTAATACACAGCTGATGATATCAGAACCCAAAGGATTTGTCCTTCCCACTTGTCTCCCCCAATTCTCCTATTAGCTTCATCTTTATAGCATTTGAATGTTCTAAGTCAGACATTCTCTGCAAGAGATTGGAGCTCATTGGAGGAAATCAACTAAGTAAAAAAAAAAAATTGTTGTTGTAAAGTGCTGGGGCTGAGTATCAAATACATCTGAGCTCCTGCTGCTTCACTGAGTAGGGAAGCTTAAACAAAAGAGATTCAACTGCCACCTTAACCTGCAATGCTGCATCTGGTGCTGCCCACGCTGAGCGAGACTCCCATCAGCACTAGGACTGAACCTCTGAAGTCTCTACCGGTTTCCTCATTTGTCAGCTAGCCTTTGGTAAAAAATGTCAGTTCAAAGCAAGAGCCTATACGAGCCATAATTACCCATCTTTCAACATTTTTAACCAGAAACAACACAATATATTGGTTGGGCACTGCTATGTTTACAGGAGATGCCATGGTCCCCAAGGAAAAAATTTGCAGATGAAGAGCTATTTCAGCCAAAGGTGATGGAGGAGGGAGAAGAAGGAGGAGAAGGAGAAGGATGGAGAGAAGGAGAAGCAAACGGAGAAGGAAAAGATGGAGGGGGAAAAAACTAAAGGAGGAGGCAGCAGGAGGAGCTTTCCAAGCCACCAGGATGGGAAGAATGCTCCCACAGAGTAAGAGCAGAGGTGGAGCATGGGTAAGCCTTTCCTCACACTTGGACAGTAGTGGGTAGCTCAGTATGTCTACAATGCAGCATGCTAAGAATAGCCATGGTGGGGCTAGTGTTAATTGGTTAACAAGGACTTAGTAATAAGTATCCAGTATAGCAGAGACAAGGACATTGACTAACGTCAGGGAAAACAAAGAGAAAATGTCACATAGTACTGAAGTTGACTATTCTGTCCAGTGACTAGAAAAAAAATGGGGGTGGGGGGGAGAAGGAGTCAAAGCCAGCCACTAGGCTCTCAGGCCAATCACATATAACCATGTGACCTTGGCCACACCACTTCATCTGCAAAAATGAGCAGGATGGATAATGGGTCCTCGTCATCTGTTACAGCAAGATCCAGCAGCCATAGTTCCTTTAAGTCAGGGGAAGCTACAGGGATAGGGGTGGTTTGGGGGCACTTATTTACTTGTGGCTCCCCAGTTGTCACTCAGAGGACCCAAAGGGACAGAAGCAAAATCAAACACATTTCCAGGAGATAGATGACTGAAGGGGTCTGACACACATGTGAGAGTTTGGGAAATTTATGCGGATAGCCTTGCAGCCATAAATAAAACCCCTTTCTCTTACCCAAAACTTCATTCAGGGGAGTAAACAGCAGACACCGTAATAGACAATTTGGCTGTATCTCCCACCCTGTGCCTCACTTGAATGAAAAACAGCCATCACATGGCAGGGTAATGGGTTCTGCCGCCTCTTTACAAACATCCATATTGTCACCAGCGACAAGTGGGGCTGAGGATGGAGCTGACTGAACAATTTATTCCCTGTCCCTACATACAGTCCTGCTCTGACAGCTATCTATTCTGAAGACATAGGGAATGGGAGGGCTCTGGGGAAAGACCTGGAGAAGCTCACATGTGAAAGCAGTGACCCCTGAGAAGGTAAGGGAAACAGGAGCCCCTCCCCTTTCTGTGAGCCTGTCAGAGACCTGGTAACCTCGGCATTGCCCCAACCCATGCATGCACCAGGCTGCCCAATGTGAAGCACAACTACCCATATTTTCATGACCTACTTCTCCTTCCAGGCCTGCCCTACTCCATCTACTCCCCCTCCAGAGGCAGTGTAATTAGCACCTTGCCACCAGAAACCATCAGGGACTTTTACAAGGCTTCTAACTCCAAGATAACCAAGGAGACAAGAAAACGGGTCCTGGTGTTGCTCTTTTGCTCTCTCTCTCTCTCTCTCTCTCTCTCTCTCTCTTTCTCTCTCTCTCTCTCTCTCCCCTCCCCCCTCTGCCCCCCCACTCTCTGTCTCCCTCAGCTTAGCCATATTTCCTGGCCTCTCTCAGAGATCAAACCCACTTTGACCTTGAAGGATGGTGGGATCTGTGGCTAGAGATCACTGAGAAGAAGAAAAATAGGAATCAAAACCGGGAGCATGAGAGTCAGACAAGCATTGTTCAGTGTGGGTGAAGAACCTATGGGGACCCCTCAATGCTCTCTTGCTAACCTAGCAACCAAGACAGAGATCCATGGACTCCCATGTCTGCTTCCTGCACTCCCAGAGAACCAATGCCCAGAGAGGCAAGGTGTGTGTGTGGGATGGGGGGGGTGCTGTAACTCTGGCTTAGTTCCTTTCTGCTTCCCATTAGTGACAAATGGAAACTGATGGGCTACAGCTTTATCTGCTCATTTGGTGATGGGAACCTTGCAGTAAATGCTAGATAAGTGTGGGAATCTAATAAATTAAGCATCTTGAGGATATGAACCGTTTTTTGCATCGTCACTGAGCAGAATTAAATTAGGTTTTGTAGTTTCTATAGAAATGAGTAAGGGAGGGGGAGGGAAGGTCTTGTTTTTTAATGCCTTTTTTTAAAGCAAGCAGAGCAAGGAGTTGAGCACAGGGTGAATTAGATCACCTGTCCATATTTCAGACTTCAATCAGCAGCCGCTACATTCACACAGAGAAATATGCCCACGGCTCAGCCTCTGACAGGTGACGCCTGACCAGCTGTGGTCTGAGCTATCAGTCTGCCTTTTGCCCAGACCTAGACATCTTGGCTGTAGAGGGCACTCTGGTGCTAGTAAGGCCGGTCCTTGTTGTAAAGGGAAAGGCTCTGCTGCCCAGCATCAAGTCATCTTTATTGTATATCGCCTACAGTCTTTCAGTTTTGCATGCACATCCAGGTCCTGCCAGGCATGGTGCTGCACGCCTTTAACTCTAGCACTCAAGATGCAGAGCCAGGCAGATCTCTGTGAACTCAAGGCCAGCCTGGTCTACTTATTGAGTTCCAGGCTAGACAGGGTTATACAGTGAGACGCTGTCTCCAAAGAAAATAAAAGATCCTGTCGTGAGCAAAGCAGCCACTCCACTCCACCCGCCTCCACCCGTCTGGGGTGAAGGACTCAGTGTTATCTGGCTGCATAACGTGGCCTGGAGAAGGATCATCTAACCTAAAACTGGAGGTCTTACTCTCAGGAGGGTCTGTCTTCTTCAGGCCACAAGACTTTTTGGATACCTCATTCCACACTGACCCATGTACCACACACTTATGTAGACATCCCTAACCTCTGACCCCCTCCCACCTGGCCTGACTCCACAGGTCCCCTGCACTGGACCATCTATCTGATGGAGGCAGGCACTGCTTCTTGCTAGACTAGATGGTGCCCCCATCCCTACCACCACGGCTATGCCTCTAGGTCCTGAGATCTACAGTGCCTTCGCTTCCAGTGGACTAAGCTTACTTGCTGGTTACAGAGGAGCATCAGGTTTCCCAGGACCCGCCTGCCAAGAGTAGAGGTGCCAACGGTGTAAGTGACAACCCCGCTTGTCCACACCTAAAGGGGCATGCCCACAGCAACAAGGATAAAGAGGCTCAAATGGCCCTGTGATTCCTCACAGAGCTAGACCACAGCTAACAGATAGCAACTCAAGGCCCTTCCAAGCAGGCTGGGCAGGAATCACCAAGCAGACACGGACTTCATCCAAATTGCCAAAGATGATCTTAACACCTTTTTCTAGATTCTTCTTGGACTGATCAGAAGAAAAAGGGCAACTGCTTATCTCCAGTCCTGGATTTGGAATACCCATGGCCATTTTCACCCTCCTTCATCACTAACAGCTGCCAGGGCATAAGCAGCATTTTATTCTAGACACTAACGGAGCCTGGCAGGAAGAAGCAATGGGAGCCACCAGCCTGTTGCCCCCTCACCACATCCACAGCTGTGTCCACCTCTGCTTCCACATCTGTCACAACCACACTCAGGGAGGCCAGGGAAGCGTCCCACAAAGCCTGTGAAGTATGAAGGTATTTCCTCTGTGTACACATAGGACGACAATGAGACTGTCACCCAGAACCAGACAGTACTTAGTACTTACCGATCCTCAGGGAGTGTGGGCTACAGGCGACCATCACGAGCCACGCAGGAAGCAGCACCAAAGGCGCGGAGACGCGGGGCATCTTCTATAACTCCTCATGGAGCCCTCTGCTGGTCTGGGCATGACATAACGCTGTGAGGGAGCGGAGGAAGCAAGTGAGTCCTACACAGGCTTAGGTAGCCACCACCTGGTCCATCCCAGTGACAGAGGCTTCGGAGAGCACCCAAGAACCTCAGTGGGGAGAGCTGACACTCCCTCCAGGAGAACTTCGGGCATTACCCATGAGAGAGATGCAGGCAAAGTCCTGGGACTGGGCCTCTGACTCTCCTACACTCACCAGGGTTCAAAGAAAGCCTCCAATGAATACAGGGCAGGCTGCTCTAACAGCTTGAAGGATCCATGGTACCTCACTTTCCTTAGTAAGAATCAAGATCCTCTGTTTGTCTTAAGGAACAGAAGCCATGGGTACGCAACAGAGAAGGCATGAGGAGGGTTATTCTCAAGCACATGGGATGGGTCCAATTACAACTCTCCCACCTGCCACCTGTGTGGTCGTCACAAGGCTTCTCTTTGTCTCATTGCAGTTTCCTTGTTTGTATAAGTGGTGTTAATTCCCTCCTGGTGGAGCTGGTCTGAGGACCAAGATAACACAGGGAAAGCTACCTTATGTAAGGCTTGCCCTAAATGAAGGACTGGGTACACATCTTAGCCTAACACCTGCTTCATCTGCCAGATGCTAACTAAGTCCTTGTCACACCCTTCCTCTACCTCCTCACATACCTGATATCGCATCAAAGCTGTCAAATGGTGCTACCCCTCCCCAAAGCATCAGGGCCACTAACCCTCCCATGACCTTTCGGTTACTCTAAGACTCAGCATCTGGAGCAAGCCAGTTATGAAAGTGGGTGCCCTGAGCACCTGAATATCTAATCCTGGATGCTCCAGGAAAGGAGAAAAATATTAAAATGTTTTCGCCTCCCACCCCATAAATAATTAACAGAAAACCAGTCAAAAGCCTTGAACAGACACTTCACTAATATAATCAATGGCCTGTGCCATTTGAAAAGATGCTCAGATCTGCTGGCATCAAGGATGTATGTTTTAAGCCACAGCATTTACAAAGTGTTAGCAAGAACACAGAGCAACCTGGTCTTTCACACACCATGAGAAAACATAAATCATGTAAGTGCTTTGGAGAACTGGTCTACTGGACAAAAACACCCATGAACGAGCAACCCCACTCCTTGATCTTTCTCCCATAGAAATGCAGGTATGCTCACCAAAGACATGCCCTAGAATGTTCACAGTGCCATTCTTTGTATTTGCCCAAACTGGAAGCTGCCCCAGTGTCCAGTGGCAGAATGGAGAAATATACTATATAGTCACACAACACATGTGATGAAGGCATAGACTTTAATAACCAACTACTACATGCCACAGCACAAAGATTGTCATTAATACAACACCGAGAAAGAGATATTAGACATAAAACTGCATATAGCATGACTCTAAAGCATAAAAACAAACAAAAGTGCTGTGTAATCAAACATTTAGTCAGTGGAGAAATGTCACCAAAATGACGGGTTAGAAACAAGCAGCACCCTTAAGCTTCTCTGTAGTTTGAAGTTAACACTGCCAGGAAACAGCTTCTCAGTGAGGTGAGTAGCTGAGGGATGCGGTAGAGTTCAATACTAGACACGCAGAGACTGGGAGAGATCCAGAGTCTATGACTATCAAAGCAGAGGGCAAGCAAAAGCACACATCGTGGGCTGAAGAGATAGCTCAGCCAATGAAGGGCTTGCCTTGTAAGCATGGGGGCCTGAATTTGATAACCAAAATCCACACAACAAAAACAGGTGTGTGCTTGTAATCCTAGTATGAGAAAGCAGAGATGGGCAGGATGACTGTGACTATCTGTCAAATCTGTATATCACACTCAGCGAGCTCCAGGACAGTAATAGACTCTGGCTCAAAATGCAGGAGGATAACACCTGGGGAATGATACCTAAGCTTGTCAGCTTCCTCCACACACATGTGCACTTTCACACTCGTGAATGTTCATGAGGACAAGAAAGAAAAATGGAGTCCACAGATCCTTGCAACACAGAGAAATAAAGGGAGGGACACGGTGAAGACACAGACGGAGAACAGCCATCTGGATTTAGTTGTTTTAGGGACTGCCAGGTGTGCTGTCTCTTCAGCAATGCTCTGTCTCACCACAGAAGGCTGCTGCACTAAATGGAGAACCACACTGAAAAGGTTGCAGCTAACCATGCCCCTGCCTGGAGAAACCATTTCTCTGTTTTCCTTTTCCCTAGAACTCACAGCAATTATTACATACTTCCCAGCCATCTACCTTGTAACCCAGAGTGGTCCCGGTAGAACGCTACTAAAGTAAGTTCATTGAAAAATATAAACAATAGGAAATAAATAAATGGAGTTTATTTTCCCTTAAGACTGGGACTCTCAGTAGGCAGCAAAAAGAGAGAAAAAAAATTAAGTAGATGCACAGAATTGCATGTAGACCCTGGGCCTTGAGAAAACACAGACTTTGGAAAATCCAGAGGAGGTCCTCTGTACCCTCTCAATGCAGTACAATTTGTTGTCTTGACCTCCTTAGGGGACTTCATGGGGATGCCTGAAACCCAGACCCCAGTGAAGCTCAACATTAACCTGGCCTTGGGAATACTTTGAAATAATCTACTCAGGGTAAACTGGGGCTAAGGGAATTTGCTTCCATGTAACTTTGTACTATGAAGCAGGAAAACAAAACATTCCCACCTGCTTGGCCCCAAACCACTCCCATAGAGTAACCCTAGAAAAAGAAGAGCAACTAACCCCAGCCTCTGCTCTCTGCAAGGAACACACAGCTAGAGAAGATACAAGAAGAGGAACAAACTAGCTGAGCAGTGAGTTCCCACCCACCCCTGCCCACATCAACGCCCCAGCAGAGATGATACTTACTTCAATGTTTTTATTGAGACTCATTTGTTTTTTCTGGCCTGGTCATATACATACATTTATCTTCCTTTCCCCTATTTCTCTTTGTATTTTCAATTATTTGGAACAGGGATCAACTGCTCTTCCCCTTCCTCTCCTTCTAGCAGTCAAGTTCATTCACTCTCACATGTTCTACGACTTGCCTGTTTTCCCCTTTCACTTCTTGAGTGCTCTGACTTTTTATTCCCACTTTTCTTCATCTTTTCTCCTAATTATACCTTTCCTATCACATTCCAAGTTTTTTTTTCTGTTTGTATTATTTCTATCACCACCAATCCTGTTGCTGATGTCAAGGTTGAGAGTTGTGGGTGTTGAGTTTTTACATCTTTTCTACCTGGTACATTGCTACTTGATGTTATTTGTCTTTCCCCTCCCTCATGGGCATATAGCAGTAGATGCTCTGCTGCCGAGCTACACACTCATCTCTGCTAAAGACTCTGGCCACCTTGCTCTAAACACAACACAACCCTGGTCTAACTTCAGTGAATACTTTAATACCACAAAAAGAGGACATAAAAATGTCCATCTGAAGACCAGGATCCAAGTAGGCATGGAAGCAGTACATAAAAATATCAAAGACAAACAACAACAACAACAACAAAGTGTGGATAATGTATCTATGTAGGACTACAGTGTATGTCATTCAGTCTCCCTTCAATTGTACAAGATTAGAGGAGTAATGACAGAGGATATAACCTCATATACTCTGCTGATTACAATACATCTGCCTTATACACTAGAAGTACCCCACAACCTATAGGCTTTGACAGCATATGTACTATGTCAAAACAGACTAAAAAAAAAAAGTAACACAGAAGCTATAGTACAAAACCCATCTCACAATAATCTGCTGCCAAATAGCAGATCATTTTTCCTTAAAGAGACTCTCACATGAAAGTATAATAGCTTGGCTGGGAATGATGATGCATGTCTTTAATCTCAGCACTTAGGGGGCAGAGGCAGGTAGATCTCTGTGAGTTCAAGGACAGCCTGGTCTACAGAGTAAGTTCTAGGACAGCTATGGCTGTTACACAGAGAAACCCTATTTAAAAAAAAAAACCTATGTAAGAGCCATCCATTCCAACATATACTCATCTCAACATAGAAATAAAAGATATATGAAAATAAGACAGCAAAACTTCCTCCAAAGCTCATAGTTTTATAGCAAATGACTGCAAAGATAATGAATAAGATTAAATACTAGAATGAAGAATTTTACAAAATGACTTTTTAAATACCAATGAGTTCTAAGAAAATGCATAAAAAATAATTGGACCAATTAAGGAAGGCAATAAACAATATGAATCAGAAGTTCAAAAGAGATTTTTTAAAAGAATTAAACAGAAATCATGGATATGAAAATTCCATTAAGCTAAATTAAAAAACCCAATGGAAAGCCTGACCAAAAGATTTTCCAATTAAAAGTGAGACTTTCAGGGGCTGGATACAAGATTTATAAATTGTAAAACTCAGAAAATAACAATTTTAAAATGTAAAAAATTATAAACAGAACATACAAGACTCTTGGGACATAATTAAAGAAACAAATTTATATAATCCTGATATAAAAGTTGGTGATGATGTATAGACTAAGGGCATAAAACCTATTCAGTGAAAGAATATCAAGAAATTTCCACAATCTTGAGAAAGATGCAAACATACAGGAACAAGAAGGATTTAATAAACAAAACAGACAAGGCCAAAAGAGAAGCTCCATATATTATAGGTAAAAAGCCAAGAGTACAGAAGAAAGAAGGAATATTGAAAGTTCCCAGAGAGAAATGCCAACTCATTCTAAATGTAAATCTATTAGAATACCTCAGATTTCTCAACAGAAACTCTAAAGCCAGGAAAGAATGGAATGATTTATTTCAACTATGGAGGACAATGCCAGAAGTCTAGACTATCATATCCACCACAGTTAGCCTTCAGAATTAAAGGAAATATAAAGACCCTCCAAGAGAAACAAAATATAAAGGAATCCATGACACAAAACCAGAACTGTGGAGGATATTCCAAGAGGATCTTTCACACAATAGAGGAAGACAAACAACCCTAAAAGAATAGGGAAGAATGTATCTCCAGAACACTAAATAAGCAAATAAGAATTAAAAAAACAATCACACATTAGG